AAATAATATATCAATCCTCCACAAAATCAAGTCTTAATCTCCATGAAATATTCAAGAATTGAAAGATGGAAGAGAAAATAACTTACCTCAATTTGGAGAGCTAAACCTTACCCCTATGATGGAATGATGATGATGATGGAAGATGAAGGTTTGGTGAATAATGGAGATGGAGAGGGTGAAAGACAAGTTTGAGAAGATGGGGAAGGTAGGGTTAGGAGGTGGGAGACGTAAAGTAAAAAGATGGAAGGTAGATAGTGAAAAGATATAAAAAAGGGGAACAAGTTATAAAGCCCTAGCTGGGCTCGGGTTTTGCTTGATGGGCCTCTGCGTCCGGATGCAAGAGCTAGCGTCAGGACGCGAACTGGAGTGGTGCGCGCGCTATGAGGTGGTATGCGTTGTGGTGTTATATATATGGCATGGCGTCCGGACGTGGAAGGTACCAGTGGTTGGTGTCCAGACGCGAGGGGAGCAGGTGTTAGCGTTTGGACGCGAGAAGTGGCATCCGGATACGGGATGCTTCAGGGGTTGGCGTCCAAACGCAAAATTTGGCATCTGGACGCAAATGTGACCAGTTCTTGTTATGGATATGAGCTTGAAAACTCCTGAAAATGTTACCAAAACCTTAATATAACTATAGAAACCCACGATGACCACTGGAAAGGAAATCTAGATGATTCTTGAAGAATGCAAGGTGGAGTTTCTACTTAGGCATTTTTAGAGAGTTTTTGGTTTAGAGTAACAAAGAAATAAGGAAGCTTGGAATGGAAAGAATTCGCTTCCTTGAAGTGCTAAATTTAATGTCGATAGCTAGACGATATGGGAATCTAACTAGTCCTCATAAATTGGATCCATTAAGATGATGGAATCCACATATCCGACCGGGACTAGGTTGTCAATGTAAAGCTTAAACCGCTAACTATTGACTTTAAAAAGATTCCCATTCTTTGGTTCTTGCAACTCCACTGCACCATGAGGGAATACAGAAATGATAAGGAAAGGACCTTCCCATCGTGAATGAAATTTCCCAGGAAAGAGTTGCAACTTGAAATTGACAAGCCAAACTTTTTAACCCGAAGCAAAAGACTTCTTGACAATATGCTTGTCATGGAATGCTTTAGTCTTTGCTTTGTAAATTTTAGCACTTTCATAAGCCTCATTTCGGATTTCTTCTAGCTCATTGAGCTGCAATTTTCAATTAGAGCCGGCCTGATCAAGATTGAAATTGAACCTTTTCATGGCCCAAAAGGCACGATGCTCTAATTCAACCAGAAGGTGACATGTTTTACTGTAGATGAGCCAGTATGGTGACACGCCAATTGGCGTCTTAAACGTAGTTCGGTAAGCCCAAAGTGCATTGTTCAGTCGTAATGACCAATCTTTGCGGTCCGGTCTAACGGTCTTTTCAAGGATATTCTTGATTTCCCAATTTGAGACTTCCACTTGACCACTTGATTGAGGATGGTAAGGCGTGGCAACCTTGTGAGTGACAGAGTACTTAAGGAGGACGAATCGAAGATAGCGATTACAGAAATGAGATCCTCCATCACTTAAGAGTGCTCTAGGTGTACCAAACCGACTGAATATGTTCGTTTGAATGAACTAGACCACTGCAATGTGGTCATTGGTTATGGTTGTCTCAGCCTCTATCCATTTAGATACATAATCCACCACTAGGAGAATGTAAACATAACCATAAGAAGATGAAAATGGTCCCATAAAATCTATTATTCCCCATACATCAAAAATTTCGACAATTAGAATTGAGTTTAATGGCATCATGTCCCTTTTAGATATGGCCCCCAGCTTTTGGCATCGCTTACAAGACTTGCAAAAATTGTAAGCGTCCCTGAATAATGAAGCCCAATAAAATCCACTTTGAATGACTTTAGATGAAGTCTTTTTTGGCACTAAAGTGTCCTCCACAGTCAAGAGTGGCAGAATTTCAAAATATTTTAGACATCATATTCAGGAATGTTTTCAGTTATGCACTATAGTAAATAAAAGAGTCAATTTTATTAATTTTCAATTATACTTGAATAGTAAATAAAATATTATTTTATTATTTTTAGTTATACTCTAATAGTAAATAAAAGAGTCAATTTTATTATTTTTCAATTATACATGAATAGTTAATAAAATATTATTTTTCAGTTATACTCTAATAGTAAATAAAAGAGTCAATTTTAAATTAAAAAATAAATTTACCAATCATATATATTTTTTCTTTTTTTAAAAATTTAACTTACCAAGCGTGTTTTGGTTTGATAGAAATGACAACATAACATTCAAAACTTGTCATTTTCATAAAAATTAAAGGGTGAATTGCCAAAAAAAAAAAAATTCCCTTTTACTATTACTCAATTACGAAAAACCTTCTTATGAATATTTTTGGCAAAAAATCCACCTCAACTATCCCCTTAACTATCACAAGGAGGTGTTTTTAACTAATGTCTGTTTAAGTGGTTGTCTGAGAGAATTTTTGGACCAAATTACCCCTTAACAGATTATTTTTCAGACAATTTATTTATTTTTTCTCTCTTCTCTCTCCGCGTTAAGCAAACCTTCTCATTCCTTTAAACACAAAGCTAACAGTAGATCGAGAAACCCAATTGTTGAAAATTTATCTTTCGATACTGCTTGTACAACATGATATAACCAACGAGTCAGTAGCCTAGCGGTATCAGTCTCTTACCTCTCAAAGGGAGGTCAGGGGTTCAAGCCTCAAAAGAGACGTGTGTGTGAGTACCAACTAGGAAAAAAAAAATGATATAACACATGTAAATAATAGTTGAGGCCCCAAGAATACTCAACTATATTCACTTAATCTATGACTTATTTTTATTTATTTACTTTTATTATTGGTTTTTTTTTTTTGGTCATAATTTCATCTATGTAATTGAACAAATCATTTGCATGTAAAAAGTGTTATGTTTCCTTTGGTTTCTTACCATCTTAATAATAAGAATTTAAAAAAAGAAAAATCATCTAAATAATAAGAGTGCCCCATGTACTTCGTCCATATGGTATGTAATTTTCGAGTATTAGGCGGTGGAATCAAAACTATTATGATGAGATGATAAATGCATTTCTCTCAAATTAAATAACTTAAATGTCCTTTTTAATTAGATTCTTGTGAATTGAATAGTGGGCAACGATATCATTTCACATTAAAAGCGATTATATTTTTAGGTCTTTAACTTGAGTATATCAATTACAACAATTTCGTCTCAAAAAGTTATTTAGAGTATTTCGTGTTCTCGAAGTAAGTAAATTTTTTTTTTAAAAAAAATCATATTTGAAAAAGAAATTATGTTGTTTTTTAATTGCCAATTTTAGTCCACTTAACTTGCAGTAGCATAATTAAATTAAGGAAAAGAAAAAAATTGGACTAAGGAAATATAAGGTCAAGTGCATTAAAGAGTTCTTGAACTGCTTAATTTTTCCATCTTTTATTCCAATGCCATGGTAGATTTTCTCTCTCATATGCGATTATACTCAATTTTATTTTATTAATTATTTTATCAATTTCATTTTATTTTTTATTTTTTTGGAAATTTTTCTTTGCTGCTTCACATACTTTGCTTGACAAAGAGAGAGAGAAAGAAAAAAAATTTCTCTGAAAAATAATCTATTAAGGGGCAATTTTGTCCGAAATTTTTTCTCAAATAATTACTTAAACCGACATAAATTAAAAATACCCCTTAAAATAATTGAGGGGAATTTTTTTGCCAAAAATATTCTGGGCTAATTGCTTTTTGCAGCCCAAAACGAAATCACAGCTTTATCAAGATCTCTGGATGTTTCACGAAGACTAGGGGCCCACATAAGTTGGCGCATGGGTTTGTCCAAGATATCACAGTTGCAGCTATGCGTGTAAAGGGCGCCCTGTTTGGCTTTCTGAGGAATGAGGCCTATAGATGGCATATATGGTTTGTCCAAGCTATTCAAATCTTGGACATTCATAAAACATAGATTGATACAATTCCGAATAAATTTTTAGATTAATAGATGCATAGAGTTGAAGTCTGACACTTCAAAAATTTTCAAATACACTAAGTTAATTGGCTATCGAGACATCTACAATATACTTTTCATGTTGAAAGATGTTTTTTTTTTTTTTTTTACCTTTTTTTTTTTTTTTTTGAAAAAATATATATGCCAAACTAAATCTAACATTAATAATACCCTATGAAATTCTTCTATTATTTATAAGGATCAATAGACATTTTCTCGTATCAATAAATGTTCTTCCATAAATTTTACATCCATGAAACAAAATAACTTTAAAAAACTAGTAGAGGTGCCAAAAAAAATCGTTGGACTCGTTAAACCATGGTTCGGTTCCAATTATAGTTTCAAGTCCATTAAGATACAAACAATGTTTTAATGATCTAATCGCGTTTTCAACCAAAACGCGTGTTTGCTGAAAATAAAAAAAAAAATAAAAAAACCCTAATCTTGCTAGGATTTATCTTTGCATCATTAGATATGCATTTTAGGGAGATTGGATCTTCAAAAATTTCAACATCTATGTCCTATGAATTTCAAAATTTATGTCCATAATTACAATAATGATAATAATAATTACTAAAATGTATTAAGCAGAGAATTAAGAAGTTTTGCCCTTTGGAAAATTGCATCTGATTTATGATGTGTTCTTGATCGAGATCATATTCGGATCTATGCGGTGAATTTATTTCCGGACCTTGTACATGCCGCCTGTCACACTATGAAAGTTGATCATGTCCGAAATCGCTAGGACGGGAATGTTAAAGGTGAAGCTAGTTGACTAGAGTGAAATCGTAACAAGCTAGCCCTAGTGAAAGGTGCGGCTGCATCACCTCCTCTTTTCAGGGAGGACAATGCTTATTAGATATTTTGGTGATCAAAATCAGTTTCCATATAAAATGAATCCAATGGCTGAGAATCATGCACACCATCATAGATGATGTGTGTTAGCTGCACCATAACACATCTATCCACCCTCCAATCTAATCATTTCTGCATTATCTTCCTTCTCATCTTCTTCGTTGCAGACCACAAAACTTTCCCACTTTTTCCGTTAGTTATTTTTCCCGCTAAAACAAAACAATGCTTCTCCACTCCTCTCTCTCGACCCCAACTGTTGCTTCCTCTCCCTCCCCTTTCAAAAACCCTCAACATTCCATCCCTCTCTCTTCCTCTTCTCCACACCCTCCTCTCTTCCTCCTCAAGTTCCGTACATCTCACCGCCACAATCTCCGGTACCTGACAACCCTCGGCATCATCAACCCGGAAACCAAATCTCACAAAAACTCATCTCCTGAAACCCTCCATCAAATCCTTTCCACCGTAAACTTCTTCAAATCCAAGGGCTTTAGGGATGCCGACTTCCCCAGACTCGCCTTCCTTTGCCCGGAACTCTTCTCGCCGGTGTTTGACCCCACCGACGTTGAACCCGTTTTGGACTTCTTATCCATTGACTTAGCTGCCTCCGATCAAGAATCTTGCGGTCTGATTCTCCGGTGTCCCCGGATTCTCCTTTCCAACGTCGAGTTTTGTCTCCGGCCAACGCTTGTCTACCTCAGAGAGTTGGGACTGGAAAAGCTGAACACACCCACTAACCTAAATGCTCATCTCTTGAACACTCGCGTTCACAAACTTGAAGAGAAGGTGAGGTTTTTGCAGGGCGTTGGGCTGTCGTACGAGGACTCAGCTAGGGTTTGTGCGCGTTTGCCGGCGATATTCGGATACAGTTTGGAGAATAATTTGAGGCAGAAGATTGTGTATTTGGTGAGGGAAATGAAGAGGAGTGTTGAGGAGGTGAAGGAGTTTCCGCAGTACTTTGCTTACAGCCTGGAGAGGCGGATAGCGCCAAGGCATTTGCATTTAAAGCAGAGGAATGTTGAGGTTCCGTTGAAGAGAATGTTGTTGTGGAGTGATCAAAAATTTTATGCTAAATGGAAGTGACTTTTTTTATTATTGAGTTTTGTCAATAATTTTCCTCTTTTATTACTATTATTTTTTTCTTTTTCTTTACTTGGATACGTACATGTGTGTATATACATATGCGTATTAGCATAATTGGGTTTTTCAAGACGAAAAATGCTTGAAAGATAAAGTATGAGAAACATTATTGGTTTAGAAGTAGGTGAAATGTATTTTCCAAACATTATTTATTATTAAAATTTATTGTGCAAGATCAAAGCTAGTCTTCCTCTATGTTGTTATGCATATCGTCATCATTAATCATTTATTACATCAGAACCTAGTAATTAACAAGAAATACACTCACACACTTTTTGCTTACACCTGAACTCGAACGCCTCCCCTCCTCTTTGAGGATGAAGAGGTTATATCATTAGGCTACGTGCCAATTGGTCCAGTTTACAAGTCCAAAGGAGTATGGTGATAATTTTCATCAAGTTGTCTATATAAAATGCTTGAAATTGGATTCACCTATTTTCATTACCTTCGGAATTAGATTTGCATATGTGATTAGAAATATATCAAGCAAGCTTGAAGGAAGCTACACTTATTCTTTTCGAGGGAAAAAAAATGGTTAACGAATTACTTAAGCATGCCAAACTGTCAGCTAGAATAGCAGGTAGTTTTATGACATTGCTAGCAGTTCCAACAAACGGCTCGCTACTTACGTGAATGGAGTCGAGTGGATCATTTTCCGACATATTCAACTAGCCGTTCGCTACAATTTGGTGAATAGCATCACTGACTGATTCATCCTCAGACCTAACAGCGAGTTTCATTGCAACCTCCTTCGGCCCATCAATTCCAAATGACAAGCGAACAAGCACCTTTACATTGCCTATGAACACACCGGATAATAAACACGTGTGTGATCTCGAATTGCTTTGGACGACCTCTGTGCCCTGAAAAGCACCAGAAAATAAACAAAATCAATTTTTATTTTTTTCAGCTACCAGAAATAAATGCAATAAATTACAATTGCCCACGTCTGCAATGTGCACCCAAAACATCCTGTCTGGAACTATTTTGAAAAACTGTGAAGGCACTAATCAAAGTTCTACTTCAAGAAACAGGATCAACATTGTGAGCTACTTAGTTTGTAACTCTAAAAACGGTTTTATTTATTTATTTTTTCACGGAACAAAAAATCAGAAAATTTTAAAAAACCTCTTTTCTGAAAACTCCCAAAACATCCTGTCTGGAACTATTTTGAAAAACTGTGAAGGCACTAATCAAAGTTCTACTTCAAGAAATAGGATCAACATTGTGCGCTACTTAGTTTGTAACTCTAAAAACGGTTTTATTTATTTATTTTTTCACAGAACAAAAAATCAGAAAATTTTAAAAAACCTCTTTTCTGAAAACTCAGTTATAAAAGGTTTGTTTTCAGAAAACTGTCTTTTATAATTCTCTGAAAACAGTATTATGTTTTTTGAATTCTTAAGAACTGTTTTCAGAGTTACAAACCAAGCAGGCCCTATATCTTCGTTGTTATATCTTCTTATTCTAGAGAAATGTCAAGTAGCAACACCAAAATGTGAATGAACTATTGTCTAACCCCATTAGCTACCCTATTGAAATCCATATCATCAGAGGAAACATTATAAAAAGAAAAGTTTCTACCCTCCACCGAGTCCATATCCATCAAATTTTTTTAAGTAACACTCGCCCATCAAGGATTTTTTGTTTGGAATCATAGGCCCTAGTCTTGTCTTTAAACTTGCCAATTATCCAAAGGTTGTTTTTCAAGTGAAATTTTTTTTTTTTTTTTTTTTTTTTCATATTATAACCATACCTCACAGGGTTGCATGCCAAGAAGATTGATGACCGCACCCACAGCTTCTGCCAGGCTTTCCCTTTGGCCAAGACCATACTCATCTACCCGCTCAGAGTCTGGGCCCATGATTTCCCAAGCATTCCTGAAATTAGAAGCCCCAACATTTAACATGTAATCTGCAGCAACAACTTCAAGGTCCTCCAATTGGTATTCATCTTCCACACCGTCTTCTTCAGCCTCACCAGTTGTTGGATCGACCTGGTAATACCAGCCAATAGACAAGCAAGGAAGACAATATATTACTATTTTGTTGGCTATAGGTTCTTAGGTAAGTTAGCTCTCATATTATAATAACAAGCTATTCTAATAAAATAGTGTAAAAGTGGCCTTGAAAAAATATATATTATGGGTCTAAATGGGTTGATTGAATAGAAGAAACGTGATAGCTTCGGTTTTGATTAAATGTTCTTAACTGCATCCATGTGAGCTTTAATAATAAGAATATCATTTATCAAACACAGCAAGACAGAATTGTAAAAACAAGATTAAGATATGCAATAAGAATTCCATAATGAATTGGAGACCAGACATATGCACATCCATACACATGTATGATCAAAATATAAACACAATTACATGTCAATTTATCGACTAGCAATCACAAGTGGACAGAAAGCATTCGCATAATTTAACATTACAAAGCAACTTGCAGTTCCTGCAGCTTTAGTAGTGAGAACAAAGCTTTATTGAGGGAAATCAGTCATGAAGAGACCAAGATGCCAACCTGATAACCGAGGAGCAGTGAAACTGAACAATTACAAGGAAAAAAGAACTACCCTCACATCCAACTTTCAGCTATGTTAACAAAGAGAAAACTAGACTAATCAAATTCTTAATGAAGGATGCGGACGAAGCAGGGGCACATCAATAGATAATTGTACTATTATATATAGACGCACACAAATTCCCTTACAAATCATAAAAACTATCCAAGATATGTATATGAATATGAAAACTAAAGTTCGTACCATGTGTGGTGACACAAGTGAATTTCCATAAACATAGGATTACACCAAGGATCGGTGCTAAGCCCATATCTATTCACAATAATATTAGATGAAATAATAGAAGAATTCCAACGAGATTCCATGGTACATGATGTTAGGAGTGACTAAAAGAGAAAGGTCCTAATCAAAACGTAAGGGAGAAATTAAGAGTTGTTTTAAAAATACGCGTGTTTGGTAACAATTTAGGGTACCACTTAAATAAGTAAGCACCGCTTAAAATAGGCTAAAATTTTAAGTGAAACATGCCACACTCTTATTCCTTAAAATTCTTAAATGTCACAAAGTAGTGGTGGTCCATTATTTTTTGGATTTTGCATTCAATTTCTTTTAGGTTTTTCTGTTTCAATTTATTATTGAAATATATATTTTTTAACTTACGAATCTCGTGGTTTTAATTTAAGCAAAATTGATGTTTTTTTTTGCGCTTGAGTTCATTTCCCTTTATAGGGGTTTGAAGATGAGTGTTGTGTCTTCTAGTCTTTCATGGGTGTTGGGTAAACATACTTTTTCTACATGAGTCGTGTACAAATAGTGTGATGTTGTGGCCCGAATTTTGTTTCAGACTGGGACCAGGTTGCAACACAACCCGGTTGACCTGAAAAGTAAGCTTTGACCCGCTTTTTCGCCTATAGGTCTTGGACCCTATTTAGGACTCTCTTGTAGTCCGGTATATAAAGGGCATTTAGGGTTTGGAGTGAGATAATGAGAGACATTGAAAATCATTAAAAAAAAAAGGGTTGAGAGCGAGTGGGGGCTGAAACTTGTAAATCACTTGATTTTCGCATTGTGAAATCTTTCACTGGATCTTCATCGTGAATGTAGGTACAACTTGTACTGAACCATGTAAATCTGTGTTCTTTGTATGGTGTATTTACTTTTCTATCGTGATTTATTCTTGGTTGCTGGCGTGTGATGTAATAAAGAGGATAACAATTTAGTTAACTACCAAATCAAGATATACTTGCATATCTCATTCACAAGTCTTTGGAGTTGGAAGGCAGAGCTAGCTAGCTAGCTTGGTAACCTCTTGGAACATTTATAGCACACTTCCACGTCCTTAGTTTCTCTAGATTATTCTAGAGTTACGATTTCTAGTATTTCCTTCTTTTTAGATATTTGTACACATATTTTTCAAATGTCATTTGTTTAAAGAAAATCTATCTAGATTTTAGTAGTCCTTAATATTTTCTATATCACCGTCATCATCATCATCATCATCATCCTTACCTTTTTCCCAAATGATATTGTTGGGGTTGCGGAAACGCACAAATACAAAGATCCACTGAAAACCAACAAAGCAATCACACACAAACACAAGATATAACAAGGTTCGACCCAAACAAGCCTACATCCACAAATGAGAAGAGATTCCATTATGATTCCCGTAGAGATGCTACAACGGTGGAATACCAACACCATGTGCCCCTCCATAAGCCTCTCTCCTCGCTAACAATGCCACCAGTGTTTTGTAGTGTCCCGAATTTTTCGGCATTTTTCCTTATTTTTAGATTTATTTTTTCCCGAGCATTGTTTTGAGTGGTACGAGGGTTTTAAGGGTCATTTAGGACATTTCTTTGAGTTTGGAATTCTTAGAAATGCATTACAGGGCATTTTGCCATTTTTGGGTTTTCGGCCCCGGGAGGTCCCATGTGGGCCCAAGGTCAAGTTTTCGTGCTCGGGAATTTTTCCAAGTTTACTTGCATTTCATAACTTTATTATTGGTATGTCTATTTATGTGTATATGTGACATATATGTATAAAATTATGAGGATGGCATGGATGAAGGGGTGGAGGCATGATTTAAATTCGCGCCGGGGTGGGGGCAACAAAAAGTAAAAGGAAAAGAAAAATGACAGAATTTTGAAAGAAACGAATTATAGTATGATTGAATAAGGAAAAAATTGACTTTTTTTTTAAAGGAAATTAAAGAAATTTAAAGAGTAAATGAGGGAAAAAAAGAAAAAGTTAAAGAGAATTTTGGGAAGTTAATTTTTTTTTGTTTTGGGGGGGGGGGGGGTAGGGGGGGTTTAGAATTTCATATATATTATGTAAGGAAGGGCAGGCCAGGGGGGCACGTGCCCCCCCTAGGCATATGCTGGCTCCGCCCTTGCATGGATTTAGATAGGATAGCATGAGGAGGGTACTTCGGTAGTTTTGGTGAGTGGAGTAGACCCCCCACCATTGACTATGTGTGTGATAGGAGACCAAAATCTGAAATTGGGGGTCTCATTTTCACCTCATTCTCTCTCTCTTATGGAATTTCTCTCTCTCTATCTTTTCTTCTTCCTTTTCTTTTACACAAACCCACCAAAAATTTCACTTGGTTTCATCTATTTAGAGTAGGAATTGGAGGAAGTGCATGTTGACAAAGTTGTTGGCCAAGGCAAGAGCTTTCATTTGGTCCAAGAACTGTAGGGATTGGAGAAAATCCGAATTTGGAGGGGCTAGGGTTTGGATTTCTTTGAGGTAGGATTGTCTAACTAGTGTATTCCTAAGTTATTGTAAGTAATTTCATGTTTTTCCCCTTTGTAAGCATGTTAATTTGATGATGGTTGTGTAGTTTGGTTTCGAGGGTTTGTGTCTTGCCTAAGTGTTGGATTACATGTGATGCCATGCTCTCCTTGTTGATAATTAATGAAGACCAAGTTATCCATTTTGCTACTGATTGAATTTCATGAACAATGGGACTAATTGATGCTATCTTGCTATGAAATTGAAATAAGACATGTCTAGCATGCCACGTGTTTGTTTAATTGCCTATGAGAACCTCCGCTTGTTAATTGTATACTTAAGCATGTTTATTGCCTCATATAAGATGGTGTACTTCACCCTCATGGCATCTTACATATCATGGTGTGGGTGTGTAGAGATGTGTGTGGGATTGTGGAAATTGAATTTGAGAAGTGTGTAGAGAAAAGGTTTTCTCAAACCCGGTATTGGGGAGGTACCCCTTTATTCGGAGGTGTTAGTTGGTTAATAGGGGCATGGGAGGTACCCGTGAGTAATTTAGCAACTTGGGCCCCAAATGGTAGTTGGGAGGTACCCTTTGCTAGGGACGATAGCAAATTCCCCCTAGGGATGGAGGGAGGTACCAAAGTGCGGCTAGTTAACACGTTTTTGGCGTGGGTGTGTGGAAATGTGGGGGTGTGTGGCATGTGGATTTCATAATGCATTTCATTCCTATAAAATGATGATGTCCTTTGGATGAATTAAATGGTATTCGTGTACTCCTTAGCATAATCCTGTTCCTTACTTTCATTTCTCATCATGTGTAATGTGCCTTACTCGACTTGAGGAGACGCCATTTAGGCATTCTGTACTGAGCAGTCGTGCTCACCCCTATATTTATCATTTTCAGGACACGGAAAGGAGAAAGTGGAGGATGCACCTCCACAAGCTTATATGAGGACTAGTGACCCTTTCAACTACATTTTGTGAAGATCTTAGCATAATGTGAAGAATAGACCCCTTAAAGTTGTACATTTTGAGATTTTGATGTATAAACTTGTGATTGTTGTAATGTGGTCTCAAAGTTGTAAACATATTATTTTGAATGAATATGATCGTCTTGGAATGTAATTTGGGCATGTATGTTGACTTTAATTCCATGTTTGTAATGCTAAATTGAACTTGGGAACTATGTTCTTATGTAAATTATTTTGGCTATATAATTCAAATGGACTATGTTTGTAATTGAATCATTCGGTATGTTCATGTTTACGGATGTAAAGGGAACCTTGGATGTCTTATATAACATGTTTGAAACAGGTTGGAAAACATTTCAATGACCTTCCATGGCCTTTAGTACTCAAAATAGGCTTTTCTAGGTCATTCTTGTGCATTCTGGCCAAGTTGAACCGATTCAACCCCTCTGAACCGGTTGAAATGTAAATTTGGGTTTTGGAAATAGGCTACTACCCAAGTTGAACCGATTCAAGTGTCTCTGAACCGGTTGACTTTTTGGGCAAATCCCAGCTTTGGGCCCCCAACTTCAAACAGCCGTAACGTTTTCATTTTACATCCGAATGGGGTCAAATTTATGTCCAAACAAACCGCGTTGAAGTCTTCTTTCCAATGATATCAATATCATTTCCAAATTCCAATCATGCTAGGAGTCATGCCTTTTTTATTAAGGTAGGGTCATGAAAACCCCTACATTGGGACTACCTAATTATGGGAAAGCCTCTCTTAACCACTCCATGATAATTATATGTCCCATTTTAGCACCATAGTACATGTTAAACCTACAATGAACCTACGGAAAACCATTACACTTGTTGAATGACCTTTTTACCCTTGGTTTAGTTTAAGCACTTAGGTAGGAAGTCGAACTTGTAACCGCATTCGTTAATGACTTGGATCCACCGAATTTGGGTCGTTACATGTTTTACATATTTTGCCATCCATAAACTATTTCTAACCATCAACTCCCTCATGAGACTACATCTATCTCAATCTCACAAGTTTCAACGCATAACGTAGGTACCTATTTATGGAGCAAAATCACAATTCCTTGCTGAACAATTATTACAATTCCTTAGAACCCAAGACGTTTCTAACAAGAAATTACCTAATAAAATACAACTCTAAAATAAAAACCTAATTAGAATAGAATTTGAGACACAATTCCTAACAATCTCCACCTTGGCTCAAATTCCATTGAGTCAATTATCGCTTTCCATAACAATTGAGTACGACAACTCACACGGCTTCAATCCTACACAACTTTGATTGTCCCCATTGTATTTTGCTCGATCAAAAAAACCACCAAGGCTCCACCTTGACTACTCGAGCCCCATGCCATGTAACCCATCACGACTTTTTGACCATAGTGACCAACCAAGTTGATTGACTCCACTCGCAACTGAAACCCATCGCATCACTTATGAAGACTCCTTGTAGTTGGATCTCCTTCATCTTCGGCTTTGATACCAATTTGTTGGGACTGTGAAAATGCACAAATACAAAGATCCAATGCAAGCAAACAAAGCAATCACACACAAACATAAGATATAACGTGGTTCAGCCAAAACCAGCCTACATGCATGAATGAGAAAAGATTCCACTATGATTCTCGTAGAGAGATTACAATGGTAGAATACCAACACCATGTACAAGCCTTTTCACCATGTACACCTCCACGAGCCTGTCTCCTCACTAACAGTGTTACCAATGTTTTTCCAACTCTACTAACACATAAACTATCTCTATCCATCAACTCCCTCACGAGATTACATCTCTCCCACTCTCATAAGTCTCAACACAAAACCTTTTTTTTGATAAGTAAGTCTCAACACATAACCTAGGTATCTCTACCCATCAATTCCCTCGTGAGACTACATCTCTTTCACTCTCATAAGTCTCAACCCATAACCAAGGTACCTATTTATATAGCCAAAAACCCAATTTCTTGTTGGACAAGGATTACAATTCCTTGAGAACCCATGGCATGTCTAACAAGAAATTACCTAATAAAAAGAACCTAAAATAGAAATCTAAATATCTAATTACAATAGAATTTGAGACACAATTCCTAACAGATATGTTCAATATGTTTAGCTTAATTTAACAATTTGAGACATTTGCTTTTGAAATTATGTTAATGAATAATGCTTAAAGAATGTTTGAATCAATATTTTCTATGGTCAGTTTTGTCTTTAATATCCATTGCTAAATTAATATATTTCTTTGAGTGAAATTATTTTTTTATAAATGCTTTTATATTGTATTTATAGTATCTTATACAAAAATGTTGAGTACAAGATATTCAGGGCAAAAAAGTAATCCGCACAGCTTTCAGATTTCAACATTTGTACTTAGCAAACAATCCAAATGAATTTAACGCTTAAAATTAAGATGGTATCATTCAAATTAACACATTTAGCACTTAAAATTTCAGCGCTTAAAAATCAGTACTTAAAATTTTCAATACTTAATTTTCAGTTTGATCAAACAACACCTTGGGTATATAGAAATATACAAAGAAGACCATTTCATGCATCGGTTAGAAGAGGGCAACTAATTTACTTCGAAGGTAGGAGACAGACAGGAGGACCAAAATTAACATGCGATGAAGTTATTAGAAATTATTTTAAAAAGTTATATATTGAAGGAGAGATAGCTTGTAATAGAAAAGAATGGAAAAATTAAAATTCATGGGGCCAATCTTCATATGAAATTAAAGCAAGAATGATGATAATGATCAATGTTTGACCCATGTCAACCATGAAGGCAGGTATACAATTCCAAAATTTTACCATGTGATGTGGGACAAATTTAAGGCATAACAGACATGTCCAAGAAATGAATTTACAATTCTCATTTCTTTTCATGCTCAAAATGATAACTAACTCAAAACACAGTCCCCCTTTACAAGTGTCCAAGTTTTTTTTTTTCCCTTTTTGGGTAAGTTTTTTATTTTATTTATTTTTTCTGGTAGTTGGAAGTGTGTCCAGACTACTTGGATTTTTAGCAATATTGAAACAAAAAAAGTGATACTAGGAAGGAAAAAAAAAAGTGACAGATAGAGATGATGCCAGACTTCTTGAGTCAGACAAGGGAAAGACAGTACCTCTTTAACAAAGAACTTCAACATGTTTGAAAATTTTCCAACAGCTGGAACTCCATCTGGTTTCTCAAATGCCACAAATATTTGTCCAGGAGAATCATATGGAAGGGACCTCAAAGGCTTGGACGCTACTTCAGAGAATTCCTCACATTCTGAAGTATCCACAATAACAGTGACCTGGCAGGATGCACACAAGAAATGAGAAGAGGTCCCAAAGTAAGGTCAGGAAATACAGGTTTCTACTTCTAAAAATGGTCATTACATTTTCCAGTAATTGCTCAGAAATTGTATTGGTGCAGTTGTACTGGAATACAACTTGCTTATCAAAAATGTGCTTCACAACATTAACTGAATATTCCGTTTCAGGTTCTGTAAGCTCCACAGGTGCCGAGGACTGTTAATAAGAAATAAGAATGATTAATTTCTATGTCAGCAAACTATCAATACTAAACATAAAACAGACATGCATATCTGGAAGGTGGATACAGTCAAAGAACCTTGAAAACCTTCCCAAAGTTTGAAAACTCTGGGATAGAGGAAAGCAGCCTTTCATAAGCTTCGGCAGCTGATGTGGGACCAGTTGGAGTAGCATCCAAGTGAGTGGGCTTTTTACCAGGGGCTTTCTTCTCACCAAGTTGTTGAGATTTCACCTCCTTAGGTACTGAATCAATGTTAAAAGGTTCTTCTGAGGGTTCCTGCATCTATATAAAACAAAGACAGGAATTGATGATTTCAACAGCACATAATGCACAGAGACAGCAACTCTGAGAGAATGCTCACATAGTTTTTCAGACTTGTCTCCAGGTTGACCAGTGGGACATTCAACGAGCCAAAGAGAAAGTCCTTTACATCTTTATCAGTTTCAACAATTGAGCCGTCACCTCTAAGAGTATTCAGATATAATGTAGCCCTATCACGGACCTGAAAACAGATTGGCATGCAGAAGGCTTCTCAGAAACTAGAACGAATGGCATAGTAACAGAGAAGTGTGAGATAAATATAATTAGATTGTATTATAGGGTGAAGATGGTTATCGGGGAATGGTAAAAGCTCAGACTTCTAAGCTTGAAGACACATGTTCAAATCAGAGAACAGCCAATTTGGCAGATTCAGTTGGAGTCAAAGAATCATCCCAATATGCAAAACAGTATGATAAAATGAAAATAATTCCAGGAAACAAGAACAACCAATACTAGGCATGTGTGTGTGTGTGTGAGAGAGAGAGAGAGAGAGAGAGAGAGAGAGAGAGTAAAGCAGCTTCCTTTCTTTCAATTTTCAGGACAAAGGTGTAAGACAATTAAATATTTAAATTTAAGCTTATTAATCATTTGATAAAATGAAAACAATATGATAAAATGAAAATAATTCCAAGAAACAAAAACAATTTATACTAGGTATATGAGAGACAGAGTGAGACAGAGAGAGTAAAGCAGCTTCCTTTCTTTCAGTTTTAAGGACAAAGGAGTCAGACAATTAATATTTCGATTTAAGCTCATTAATCATTTGGAAAATTCAGATGAACAAAAGCTTGGGCCGGAAACTAAAAGGGCAAAATTCTAAGAACAAACTTTCTCATGACATTTTCTGCAGTTCAATTCAAAAAGGATTAGATTGTATTAGCAAACAGGTGGCTGTATGATAAAATTTCAAAGATGAACTTGATCTATGTTATCAAGCATAAAAAACAACATATAATAATACCTCATCGTCTCCATCGAATATACACCGTCTTAACAAAACGAATATACGAGGCTGCAACATTATTTAAAAGAACGCTATAATATGTTAGTAACATAAAATTTTCCTAGAATTGGTCAATAGAACAAAAGTAGGAAATCTACCTTCAACGAGTCAACCACAGCACCAAACTTCGCTAACGTGCTCACAGCACTTGATCGAACAGTTGCATTCTCAAGTATTACTCGATTGTATATATACCGTATATATTTGCCAGGATCTGATGTCTTAGGCCCCTCGATTCCGAGAAAATGAAGTATCTAATCATGTTTGGATTAAATAAATTCTTAAACCACCCAAAGAGATGATAAAACAAAACTGTTTGCAATAAGAACAAAACACCATGAACCAAATAAATTTTGCACGGTGATAAGATGGAGATGTCCACCTGTGTAGATAAATATGTGAATTCACAATCCTCAATAAATTCACACAAGTGAAGCAACCCACTTTCTTTTGCATCTGGGATGTCTCTTATAAGGATCATGATTGAATCAACAATTGCCTTTTTGTACTCAAATCCACCTTCTTCCCTCAAAATATTGCTTAGGAAATTCATCCTTGGAAAAAAGAAAGAGCAAAGATATTAAATTATTGGTAAAAGTAATAAAGAAATATTAGTCCCAGAAAAGAAGGATAACATTATTAAAATGGTAACTTAAGACACATGTCATGCCTAAACCACAAATTTCTAGACATAGAGTAAGCTCACTTACAGTGATCTGAACTTGAGAGGGAACTTTAAACACAATGATCTAATGGCTTCTACAACAACTATCTTGAATTCATCAGCAATGTCAGACATGAAACTGATTATTTGTTTCATCAATCGATCGACACTTGACTCATTGCCAGTTTTTAGCAGTGTGGTGATAGCTAGAGTGGCAATGCTCCTATTTTGGTCAGAAATTAAGCTCTCCATATCTATATTGCAGTTTGTTACAGCCATTGGGTGTGACATTGCTACCTGCAAATAATTCAAATATATAATCAAACTAGAAAGAAAAATCTTCACCACTGTAGAAGCGAATAAAATGACTAGAAAGGATTAGAATCACAAGAAACCCTAATCATATCGTGTGGTCTTCCCTAGATCAACAGTGGAGTTGTCCAGTTGGAAGGGAGCAAGACTGAACAGGAGAGTGCAATTGGTATGCCAGGCAACATCTTTGTCATTGCTGGTGTTGTTTGCGAGGAAAGGTATACACATTCTTTGAGAGTATGGTAGTTTCTGAAGCAAATTTGAAGTTCATCATTTTAAGTTCTCTGTATATTTTGTATTTCAGTGAGATACAGTTGTGGTGATTCTTTTGTAGATATGAGGGTATAATTTTTGTATTGTTTCTTTGTGTGCAGCATGTGTACACAACTTGTACCATTTTGGTGCGCTATAGTAATCTTAAACCATAAAAGAGATGATGACAATCTTAGATAAACTTACGGGCAGGTAACAAACTTATTAACTCATGCTCCACATTGTCTTATAATTGTGCAACATCTGTGATGTTGTGGTAGCAAAGATATATTTTAGCAACAAATGAAGTTTAAATGGAACTTTACTATGACTTTTCAATCTTCCCCCGACTTAACTTTAAAAGAATCCCGAGTCAAAATCTTTTGCAGAAAATGCGGTATTCTAAGAAATGTGCTTCCTGTCAAGTAATTCTCAGTACCCACGTCAATTGTTTTTCTTTTGCTCTTTTTGAATTTATGCTCTTACTTTCAGTTCCTTGTTCAGCTCTACAAGTCGAGTACATAACATATGAAATTAATTTAAATAACAAGAGGATGTCTAAAATGTTCACAACACCTCTTAGCTTCTTGTCAAACCAGTTTTCTAATTTCAACACTCTTCAATAGGAAGTTTATGCCTTCCAATTTCATTTTATTGAGTAAGAAAGAATCAATGTAAGAATCAAATACCTTACCCAAAAATATATAAATCAAATAAAGGAAAGAGAAGAGAAGAGTACGGTAAAAAATACAAAGCTTCTGGCCCCATGACGAAGGTAGAGATCAAGTAGTGAAGGAAAAAGGTCAACAAATGCAATAAAAAATTATTCATGCAACACACTGCAAAGATCAACAAATAAGTACAAGAGAACCCTTTTTTTTTATATAAATATAATAGTACTTTTGTAAGAGTAACCTTGTTCAAAGTGCGGATGGCAGCAAATCGGAGCACTGGCTTCGAAGAATTTAAGAAAAGTTGAAGAACATTAATTGCTGGAGTCAGTTCTCGACTTGTCACACCACTCAACTCTGTAATCGTCCTAGCTGCTTCAAAAATAACCATGTCTGCTCTGTGGCAGAGACAACTCTCAAGATAATCATATAATGGGCGGTCTCCAGTATGGTTGTTCACACTTGATTCTCTGATAACCTGAAAACATATTTGTCATGCAATTCTTAATCAACAATAACAACATAAAGATCATCATCATCTGATCAACAGACACTGTTCTGGAAGAAGAAGTGCACCTGACTAGTATAACGAATCAAGAGGCACTGAGCCAAAGGTGAACGAACATTCCCTCTAGTCAAGCTATTAACTAACTTGCTAACAGCTAATCGATCATTTTGCCGTATCTGCAAGTTTGGCAATCAAATATGTTAGAAACATGGTTTTTAGTCCTAGATGGTACCGTTCAGGAGAAACAAGAAGATTCCCTACATAGCTCAAACAATAACATAACAACCGTAAATTATTTTGTTCTGCTTAAGACAAAGATTACAATTGGCTATACCAATTGTACAAACACCTACAACCAAACAAATTGACACTTATTCTCCTTTATTTCACAGCAACATGTCATACTCTACAGGAGAAAGGAGAATACAATTAACGAATAAGGGCCATCATATCACTGAAGGAAAACAATATATATATTAAAAACCAAGTAGTAATCTGCAGTTGATTCATACTCCAAAATTAACATTCTAAAGGCAAAGCAAGTTGGAATTTAGAAATAAACGAATGCATTTTATATCATATTGAATAATTTACCAGCATACATGACAATATATTCCCTTATCTATGACATGCATTTAGAATGTTAATTTTATGTGAAAAGGGACAACAGAGTCATTATGCCTTTACTCTATGTGTGTGTAGAGAGAGAGATTATTTTTATGTGGAGAGGGGACAGATGCATATAAAATATTAATTGACTTCAATCAAACAAGGATGCATAAGATCGAACATTTTTTTTTTTTGATAAGTAAGAATGTATTAGAAAGTGTTCAAAAGGGGAACGCATCCCAAGGAAAAACTACGCAGGGGCCAAATGGGGCCCTAAGAACCCAACGAAGCCAAAAAAAATCAACTAGCACCTCTAAAGAATTACAATATCTCCCCATGACCCAACAAAAAAGAGAACTAATAATCGAGAATTTCAGTCCCCAATAGAATTATAATGGCTCTAAGAGTTTACTCTTGCAGTTTGCTAGGATATGGATAGGAGTTATCCCAAGTGGTTTCAGACTTTGCTACTCAAGATGCAGGAAACCACCACGGCAAGGCTTTTAGACTAGAAGATAGGAACCACTTGCTTTGATTGAGAAGTTAAAAAGAAAAACAATTGATAACACTGGCAGAGAAATATTCACCGCAATTAATATGCAAAGTCTACATCTGAACTTTTTCTTTATTTATTTGATTTTTTCTAAAAAGATTGTGTAATATGGTTGATACTTTTAGACATTGCATCATAAGCTGATAGAGGGCAATCAAGACAAAGAACAGACACTTACCAAAAAAAGAAAAGGGAAAAAGAAAAAGAAAAAGAAAAAGAAAAAAAAGAGCAGAAATTTACAAACTTGAGAACTAGGTGGTGGAATTTTAGAAGGAGACAAAACAATGATAAGGATACAATGTTAAAAGAAAGGAATTTGAAATCAGAAGATGAAATTAATATTATGTGGAATAGGATGAGCAAAAGTATTATAAGAATGTTTGAAGTGATTTGGAAAATCAAAATGAAAATGAAAAGAGCCATTGTCTAAGGAATTAATATTGTTGGTGGGATGACGATGTCCAAATCATAAAAAAAAAAAAATATTAAGGGTGGGGGTGGGGGTGGTTGTTTTTGTGTGTGTGTGTTGGGGGGGGGGGGGGGGGGGGGGGGGGGGGGGGGGGGCTCCAATAGGTGAATGTGAATCTCGTAAATTACAGGGAAAATAGTTGAAAATTCCTCCGCCGAGATCTAGGCAGGGTTTACAAATTTAATTGGCAGAGGAGTATATTTTTTACACCTCCACCAGATTTTTGCTGAAGGTGAATAAACTGATCACCTGATGCAGTGCAAATGCAAGAGGATTTTCTTCAAACAGTAGAAGATCCTAAGAAGATGAGATTGAAACTGCATTAATAGGGGCAGCATTGTTTATGGGTCGTAAATCTGTTTTTATTTTATGTTTAATGTTTGCCTTAAGCTCTAGTTAGGGTATTATTGTCATTTTGGTATTATTTTATAAGTCAAGTGCCTTTTAATGTGAGTCATGTGACCATTTAAGGGCCGTTTTGTCATTTTTTAGCTTTTTATTCTGCTGGAGAGAATACTAGCCTTTAGATTACATTTATTTGAAGGGCTAGGATTATATCTTTGCTAGGGCATCCTTTGTGTCTTATAAAAGGGTTGTTCCAACTTGAAATCAGCAGCTTTTGATGTATTATCAATATAATCAGTCTGCTTTAGCGGCCTTTTTACCTCTCTCTTTCTTTGGGATTGAGTTGTGGGTGTTTAAGCTAATACAATGAGCAGAGTGACTCTTAAGAAAAAGGATTTGACTAGATAATGTAAAACGATAATGGAAAGTAGTACTCGAAAGTAAATTTCCATGAAAAAAAAACTTAAGAAACTCTTTAAGTTATTGTATAAAGCATAACGACAAAGCATGATTCATATAATGATCCCAGATAATAGGGAAAATGAATTGTTGAGTTAAGTCGAGTATAGTGTATATGGTGACAAAAAGACAAATCAGAAGTAAATTTCCATGAAGATTGTTGGGTGACTCTTAAGTTATTGCATAATAGGAGATGAAGGGAATAACAATTGGGCTGAAGAGAGAAAAAAGAAAAAAAGAAAAGCCGAATAGCATATATAATATATTCTAAAGGTAATCAGATATCATTCTTCCTAAGATTTGCTTCCAAACTCATGCTTAAATCCATATATAGAAGAAATAATCACAGTAGTGCAATATTGATTGATCACACTGTACTCAAAAGACACAAGCATACATAACCAACAGTAATTTTGCCTATCCAATTCTCCACTTACATAAAGTTCCCCACACATGCACAATCAAGTCACAACTTCATGAGTACATCACGTACAACTATTCATTTTTTTTTTCCCCTGAATGTGGACAACTATTCCTTTCAAAAAAATTGAATACAATTTCATATATAATTTTTAAAACCAACAATTAATAGTGTTTTTCATAAAACCCTCAATATCAATTCACAAGTTTTTATGTACCTTGTGGAGTAGAGCAAGTGCATGGAATTGTACAAGTGCTACCCTTGATTGAACAGCTTCCTGCACCTCATTACTCCACCTTTTCACAATCTCCGGGTTGGTCTGTTAAATAAAAAACAATTAATAAGTGAAAGTTTTCAAGCAAATTGCAAACAGAAACAGTTATTCATCAAAATATAATAGTACCTGGAGTAAATGGATTCCACTAACAAGGGCCGCACTTGCAATCACAGGGTTTCTGTCAACAATAGCTTGCTTCAAGTATCTCTCAATTTGTGTTAGAAGTGTTCCATCCGTGATCCGACAGAGGACACGAATCGCATTTGCTCTGTACATATCAGTGTTGCTATTCATGTCCTTCATAAGGGAGCTGGTGACAATAATGACCTATTATGAAATGTAAAAAGTCATTGTCTACTTGTCCACAAAGCAAGGTTGAATAAATAAAATGAAATATATCAATGTTTATATAACCTCATCTGCAGAGGGAGAGATCTCCTTTATCATCAAATACACCATTCGCCTCAAACCAATATCTCTATACTGAAAAAGCTTTGTGACAGCAAAGAATACTCCTGTTGCTTCAGCCTAAAATTTAAAGCGAAAACAAATCATTTCAAAACCAAAGGGAAAAGGGAAAAAGGAAAAAGAAGTAATCAACTCTCTGCCACTATAATTCTGCATGTAAAAGTAAATTTGATTCAACAAAAATAATAATAAATAAATAAATAAACCCAATTTGATTCAAACTTGTGTTTTGATAGCAAACATCTAGCATAGAAACTGAACCTTTGTAAATGTTTCCCCCTGGTTCAGAAGATACAGAAGTTTTGTAATGACCTGGGAGGATAAAACAAAAGCCATAAAAATCCAATTTGTTAACAATAAAGAATACAATCAAAATTCCAACCATGGAATTAGGTGGTACAGAAAAGCACCTGTGAACATCTCCTCGAGTCCAGCTGAGGGTCGTTGAAAACCCTAGCTTCCTGAAGAAGTGCACTCTTCTCGATCCCAAGAAATGGAGAGTACCCCTCTGCACAATAATTAAATAATAAAAAAAATCAGAATGAATATGAAACGGACACTAATGGGAACAAAATTCAATCAAGTGTGAGAATCTCAGAAATTTTGGTTGATCTAAGAATTTCAACGTATACATTTCCCCTACAACACATTGATCATCAGAACAATGTACCCGCAATACGAATGTCCAGAACCAAATTTGACAGAACTAACGACTTCAAAAGCAATGGATCAACTAGAAATACCAATATTCTAAATCAAAGGGACTGAATATAAATTTAACATTCTTAAACAAAAAAAAATCACAAAAACAAATGTAGATCTGAGCTGAAACTTCGATTTGAATAGACCGGTGAAATTAACCGAATGCGTTGTGATTATTGAATTAGAGGATTGGACTGTAACTGCAATTGTTGAAGAAAAATAGGCCCAATTTTCAAGACGTACCTTCATCGTCTCGATCGTCGTCCTTCTTCACGAACGTATGTGCCATTGAGAGATCGCAGCGAATCCAACGATATGTGAGGTTTGAATGGAGATATAATCATATATGTAATCTATTACGTGTTTGTGTGTAATTTAGCTGCTTATACGTGAAGTTGAGTTTCTGAGCGTTGGAAGATGAATAAATAGAAAGGCGGGCAAGATTTGGAATAGCAACCGTCCGGATTTGGACCGGGCCCACCGCTCCCATTTCCGCCCAAAGGCCCTCCTTAATAGGGCCGAGTAGATCCTTTACTGTAACGGGATCCGCCCCGAAAACGGGATCCTCCTGAATGAGTGGGTGACACTAATCCTACTTGTAAACATTCCATCCATCCCACAAAAAGTATCAAATTTTTTTTTTTTTTGGACATCCCCAAAATAATTATCTCAATTCAAAATTTAGTATATTATGTTTTTTAATATTCTTAATTCTTAATTTACTATTATTGTCTTAAAGTTTTAAAAGTATGTAAAATTATAGACCCACCATACAAAGGTATATTTGAAAATTCATTTCCTACCATTGTAATAAATAAATAAAAAATCACTCTTAAAAAGTTATATTCCCGAAAAGAAACATTTTTGTTTTGGGAATAGAGGAGCATACTATTGATTTTATATGAGTAATTTTTTACCCAAAGTAACCCATTCTCTCTACCTTTTAGATTTGAAACAAGGGACGGGACTTGAAAGGGCCTAAACTGAGCAATTCAAGTCCCACTTGAAAATTTTACCGTGTAAATAAGGTATTTAAGATTATGAAAATGAGTTTAAGTTGGAAAGTCCGAATTTATTTTGGACTGGATTTGAAAAAGGTTTTACTAAGCCGAACATTACGAGGAATCCAAAATAGAGAATTTTATACTTTCTATACTGTTATGTGTTATTTATGTAAAATTAGATAATTTATAGGATCATATGTGCATGTTGAGTGAAAAATCCATGTGATCCGAAACGGCACTATTTTCTTGCAATACGACAAAGGATGATGTCCCTTTGATTGGCATCAGTGTAGTGCTGGCTGAGGACACTCCAACAATTAAGTCAGTGATACGAGGAAATTTTAAAATTTTATATTTAATTAGAATGATATTTTTCACAAACCTCATTTACTGGCCAACCCCATATATATTGTAATCCTCATGTGGTTGGTTGTGAATCCGAAAAACTTTTAAAATTTTATTTATCTCTTCTAACAACCATTTGGATGGGATGATCATCTTTGTAACCAACTTCATGATTAAGTCGTCTTAATTTTATGTAAATTCAAACTTCAAAAAATATCCAAAAACATCTTGATTAGCCAAACGGTAAAAGCATTTATTTTTTCCTCCTAACCAAATTTTGACTTGATTACTTTATTAAAATCTTAAAGTAAAAAATTATAAATATTGAAATTTAATTAAAGAAACAAAATAATAAAGAATTTAAGATTTTGAAACATGTTATAAAACATGGAATGGTTGATATATTTTTATTACTACCTATCAATTAGGGTTAATTTCTAAAAACCCTCGCTACTTTTAAAAAATGATCATTAAACCCCCATAAGTTTTAAAAACCTCCAACAATATGACAACGTTATCATTTTACCCCAATTCTGTTAATTGGCCGTTAAGGGTATGTGAAATGACTAAATTACCCTTATTATATTCCCTTTTATTTAAAAAAATTAAAAAATTATATATTTAAAATTACAATATTATCCTTTAGCACAAAACAACCGTGTTTAGTTCCAACATAGTTGGACATCAAAACCCCATCGTTTTATTCAAGGCAGTAGTTGTATTGGACTTAAAACGCTGTCGTTTGATTCATAGCACCAGTCGTATATATATTCTTGAACTTGTATATTTTTCCTTAGAACCCTAATACACTCAGATGACTAGGATCTCTGTTGAGGCGTTTCATTGTTCAAACTCTTGGGTGCGTTGCAGAAGAATCTTTTTGCTTAGAACCCTAAAACACTTAATACACTTAGATGGCTAGGATCTGTGTTGAGGCGTTTCATTGTTCAAACTCTTGGGTGCGTTGTAGAAGAATCTGTGCTCTGCTTTTCATCTATGGGACTCATCTGTGGGTCAGTGAAGAAGCTAAAGAGTGGTCTATTCAAGGCTGTTATCTTCAACTTTGTTCGACAATATGTCGATAGGTATGTTTTTGTTTGATAGTTTATGACTTTTAGTTGGACAACTTTTTCCCTGTGGGTCTTTGTCGTGTTGGGTATGTTTCCAACAGGTTGGGACCATTGATTAAATTAGGGTTATTGCAACTTTATATTAGGGTTAATGTAATTTTATATTAGGATTGTGTTTCCCATTAATTAAATTAGTGTTTTTAATTTTATATGTTGTATTCTATATTAGGGTTAGGGTTAATTTGTACGTACGGTTTTGTGTTTGGTTTTTACCATTATAATTAATTAGTTGCAAACATGAATTTGTGTTTATTACAATTTCTGTTTTGATAGGTTATACACCTATTTTCAACAAATTATACTGTTTTCGAGTCCATCATGGTGGTGGATTTGGTAAGATGGACCAAATGGAATATATTAGTAGATCTGTTACTGAGATTGATGGAGTAGATATTGACCATATATCAATGATAGATGACGACAGCCATTCCTATACACCAAAATAATGTAGTGAATGTGTGGTTCAACAAAGGCATTTTAGGTCAAGTTTAAATTTATAAAAACCACTACCACCACTACCACTAACATAGCAAGAGTGAGTAGGGATCGTCCCAAGGGATTATACGTGTTGAAATTTAACTTTGACTCTAATGTATCACACGATTGCAAAGAGATTTGATGAGATGATTAAACTACTCCAATTAATGAAAATGCAATTAAAATAAAATTAAGTTGAGATAGGGATTTAAGAGATATGAAAAGAGGTCTTAGGGTGTTAGAATCACCACTAAACTCATGTAATTAACCACTTGCTTTTCATTAATGGGGAATACATTGTTGTGAACAAAATGCGACTACTAATTGCAATTTTAAGTATGGACCATCAAATTCATGCATGAATTGTCTACCTAACCAACAAATAAACTAAGTGTAGAATAACCCATCAAATCTAAGCATGACCCATCAAACTAGTCACAATTGTAGCATACATCAATCTAGAGAATCATGAAATTTGCAATAATAAGCCATGGAATATCAAATCAAGAATAGATTGTCTACCTACTTACAAACATAAATTAAATTGTAGAACAACCCATCAAGTATAAGTATATTCCATCAAATTAATTGACAAACCCATTCAATGAAAACCCATGCTTAGCCATTACTAAATCCTTAATTAATCACACATAGACATTCAACTAATATAGAAAATCTAGTGTAGAGATCAATTCCCAAATAATCACACATAAGGCAACATGTAATCAAATAAAGAATCAATAGAAAGAATTAATCCATATGAATCATGTAAGAAATAATTCCTAATTTAATCACACATAGACATATAAATAAACTAGAGAATTAATAGGAAGAATTAAACCATAGAAATCATAGAAATATACCAAGATTCATTAAATTCACAAGGCTAGAACACTAGTCACAACAATATATATAAATCCCCAAAAACAGAAATATAAGGGTTTAGATTACATAAAACTTAGGGCTTATCCAAGCCCTAAGTGTAGATCTAGCCAATCATGGAGGAGGTAGATGTGGTCATGAAACCCTCAAGGGTAAGCTCCAAACATGGCTCCATCTTCTTCTTCCTCTTCTTTTTCTTCTTCTTTGAAGCTCTGGAGATTGAGAGTGTGGATCTAGAGATGGGTTCTTGAGATGTGCCTCCACTCCCCTCTTTTCTTCTAACCCTAATCTCTAACTTTCTAGAGAGAGAAACTAAAGAGAATATAGAAATTAAAATCTAAAATATGAATCTCTCTATAAAAATGGTTGAATCCCCCTTATATACAAGGCTTTGGGAGCCTAAATATGTGAGAACTCGGCCCTAGAATCTTCCCTTACAAGCTCTGCCCGAGTTGATTCGAAATGAGATTTAGATCCGCTTTTTAATAACTTTCACGAACAGTTCGATCGATCTTACTTTTCTTCGATCGATCTCACTTTTCTCAGATCGATCTCACTTTTCTCAGATCTATCAGACTTCTCAGATCTATCTCACTTGGCAGATTTTCAGCATCAGCCTCTTTTTGCTCCAAATCATCCTCCTTTTGCTCCAAATTCTCACTAAGACTTAGTTTGACTCCAAAAAGGCCTTAAGAAACTATTTTTAGCTCGTTTTAACATTATTAACCTAAAATAGACAAAAACACAGATAAGTACTAAAATGGGTAAAAAAAGATAGATGAATGGACTAAAATATCCTTGCTTAAGGGGTTTAAAATGCGCACTTTGCAGCTCTCATCAATAGATTTCAAATGCATTTCACAAATAGTTGGTTGTCCTACAAATAGTGTTTTGTACTACAGAGATCTGATTGATGGAAGTATATCAAAATTGGTTATTGACAAGGATTATATTGAGATGGTTGGTAAGCATAAAAAGTTCTCATTCATGAGAATTTTTGTGGTGCCACCAACTGGAGAAGATGGGAATGAAAATGATAATGGGACAGTTGATGTAATTCCAGTACATGGGACTAGAGTTGAGGGGTGTATAATAAACACTAGTGAAAAGAATGCTAATAGAGTAGAACCTGCTAATGGGAATGTTAATGGAGGACAACCTAATACTACAGCTGAAGTTTTCATGGACTTGAGTGATGACAGTTTTTAAATTGAGGATGAACCAAATGATGAAAATGATGATGAAGATGCAACATATGCAATTGATAATGATGAAGACTTTAATTTTGATGATGCAGATGTACGTGATGATGTTGAAGATGTAGTTGAATTGAATGGAGATGCTAATGTTGAGAATGAACTTACATGTGATGATGATGCACCTGAATATGCAGGTCTTGAATATGAAAATGATGAAGTTGATAAAGATACTATGTATGAGCCAAGTAAGGAGTTGAATGGAGATGCATGTGGTGATCATACTGACTATGAGCTGAATTGAATGGAGATGCTAATGTTGAGAATGAACATGCATGTGCTGATGATGCACCTGAATATGCAGGTCTTGAAGAT